GAAATTACAGAGTCATTTTTGAAAATAAAATTCCCTTAGAGAATCTCAGTTTGGGAACCAAAAGACAGTACTTTCAAGAAAACTGAAGTCATTTTCCTTCTTTATCTATTCGTTTTCTTCTGAAGCCGCAGATGCTGTGAGCTGATAAATGAGAACACAAATATCAAGCATACACATTTTATGACCTTTTTCTCATAATAGTCTCTTATCATAATAGTCTTTCTTTAAGTATTAGATTTTTTTTTTTTTTTGTATCAGCATCCCCCAAACTGAAACCAAACCTAACTTTTGGCACCTAAACTACCTCTCTCTTTAACAGAATTGGTCTGAGTTGTCTTGGTTGTTTGTACTGCAAACCTGCGTTTATTTTGGGAAGAATAATAATATTATATTGACATGGAGGCAGAAGCTTGATTTTTTTTTTCCACTTGCTGGAAGTTGATTCAAAGAGATAAAGCTTGTTAAATCTAAAGAAAATGATTCTTTAGGGTAAAATTCCAGCTAGAGTTGTAGAGGAACACTGGGCAGCCGGATGTTTTGGTTTTGTTTCATTTTGATGGTGAAACTGGGAAAATAATAAGAACACAAAAATTCCTCCAGGTTGGACCCCAAAATGGAAACCTTTTTCTCTTGCCAAATTGAAAACCTTAAAATGTTTTTGAACTGAACTAAACCTTTTACTTTTACATGGAGTACAAGAGTTTGTCTAATTTTTGAATGGCGTTTTCTAACCTTCTAAGCATTAACCTTTTGGCTACATCAAGTCTTGCTTTGCAAGGAAAAAGTCTGTGCTTTACCACTTCAGCTTCTGCCCATTTTGGTCCTATGGCAGAATTTGTGATGAATGGACTCATCTGGGAAGCGTCACCCAGCTCATACGCGAGCTTTAAGTTCTGCTTTTTCCTTCCAAAGGGCCAAAATTTCACTCTGAGCCTGCACCTGAAATTATAGACCGGGCTACGAATAGACTGTAGGTGTCAACTGCAGTTCAGCATACAAAAGGAACAGTTTCACCTGGAAGTAATTTCGGCCAAGGCAGTGGTGTTTGCCATTGATGGGATTTGGAGTAGTACAGTGAAATTACCTCCTAGGTTAGCAGTGACAAGTCTGCATTATGGTAGCGTATAATAGATATCGCGCTCTGCCTCAAATGAGCCTCGGAGAGATGATGAGCATCATATAAACACTAGCGCAATTTGGAAAGCTTTGCTGTTCTGTGATGTTATCGGCACATTTGTAGGAACCGTTTGATTTGTGGAAAATGTCACATTTAATTCTCTCTCTTATATCTCTGTTCTCTTCCTTTACAAAAATGATTTATGGTTTGGAAAAAGCACGAGATGATTAACTGCAGATGTGATTTCTTGTTTCCCGGATATTTGAATTAATTGCCTCTAATTTTGCGTCATCACGTACTGTGTGTTACCAGGCTGAACAAAAAGACAGAAAGCCAGGAATTAGGCTAAAGCCTTCCTTTTGTATGTATGTTTATGGTATTGAAAGTGCATGAATGGTTTATTCAAGGCTAATTTTTAGGAGAAAATAGCCACGATTTTAATATTGATTCATAAACTCCTGCCCTGAGTAATTAGACGCAGCAGAGCTGATGTTTCTAAAGTATTTCTCCACACAGACTTGAATAACTGAAGATGCGTCAGTGGAGAACAAATCGTCTCTACAGTGGTTTCTGAAAATGTGTTACACAATGCATTTTACTCTGATGCGTATTTTTCTAGCGAGGTAACTACAGGGCTTTCATCACTATCTTTTTCCCCCTTGTGATTAGATTTTGAGGATTTGACCCATTAAAGAAGAATAAAAACGCAACTTTTGCTGTAAAATGTCAAATGGGAACAGTAAATGCATCTTTAGACAGTGTGGTTATTGCCAGTATCCATCAAAAAGAGCCGATGCTGAGGGCTCTCCAAGCCCTGCCATCAGACTTTGGTATCTAGACCTGTTCTCTTGAAGTTTCTCTGCTCAGTTTATCAGCTATATGGGGACTTTAGGCTTCTAAATGTTGATGCTTTTGCTTGCATGCTTAGATGCCGAAAGTCATCTAAAAGAGGTTTGAAATGGCCTCCCCATCTCCTCCACCTCCATCGTGCTACATTTGAGCAAGGGTGGGAGGAAAGCTGCAAAGCCTCTGAGGGACACTGTCGCCATCTTCCTGTGCTAATCCAAGCGCCATTGCCTTCCTTGAATGCCTTTTAGATGCCACATTTTCATCTTTCTTTCCCAGCTGGATGCTTTAGCAGATGGTTTAAGAGAGAAGGCATTGGGACGGTGAGTATGTGTTGATCATGGTGCGTTAGACTGGAAGCTTATTCTTCTGTGCCTCTTCCAATGCAGATTATGCTAAGGTAGCATGAAAGAAGCATTTTTCTGTATTAATTTTCAATTTTCTTTTCCTGCCTGGTTAGGCCCTGCCAGGTGCAGTTATTCTAAGTTGTATTCTGCAAAATATCAACTAAACTATAACAGCAGAGCAGCCGCTGAGCATCCACTGGTGCTAATTGATAAGGAGAGGTAACAGGAGGGTTGCATTTAGACTGGCATAATTTTGGCTTCTTGAGGGGTACGCACATTGCTCAGCTTCAGGCACGTAAAGTTTGCGGTTTGCTCTGTAGAGTCAATGAAGAGAAAGGCTGCTTGGATCTCCTACCCCTTCAAAAAGAGCTCAGAGTCCTATTTCCACAGCTGTCTAGTTTGTGGATTCACGCAAGATAGTAAGGGTTGTACCTGAATCTTTGCAAGGGTCTCTCTTCCCTTCATCCCTCCCTTTGGTTCAGCAACCCTCACCAGAATGTTCTACCTGAACGTTAATCTCCGGTATCTGGAAGGAGGCAGCATGCAGCAGTTAAGTGATAGCCCCACTTATTTTCATCCATACAAGGTAAAAGCTGAAATTTTACTTCCCTAACGTACAGTATTGGCTTTCAGCACTTTGCAACAATGACAGAAATAACCATCTCCTGAGAGCTGGTCCGTGCACTTTGTAAACTCTTTT